GATCTTGCCGGACTGTATCTCCTTGCTCTGTCAGGCTTGTCCTCCTCTGCGCTGAGCCTGGAAGACCAACCATCTGATATTTCAGTCGCTTACTTGCTGACCTTGTGTTGCGGTGTGAGGAATGGCCTTGAACCAGCCACTTCCCCTCTTTGCTTGGCTGTAGGATAAGAACCTTAAGGGACTTGGGCCGCCATGCATTTTCCTTTGATGGAGCCAAGCAGGACACAGTGGTGGGTAGTTTGTGTCCTTTAAAGGTTGACTGTCATGTGATGTTTTCTAATTAATTAGCAATTAATTAGACAGTCGGATTGGGTGTATCTGCGCCTGTCCTTTCCTTTGTCTCTGCAGAGAGGCAGAAAGAAATCGTGTGGAGAAGAGAGGCCAGTGTGAAGGTGTCTTTCCTCTCACCCTCTAGAGACCCTGCTCTGGAAAGTAACTCAGGAGCTGGGGCTGTCTGATCTCTCCCCTTGTAACGATGATGTCTTCTCTGTGACAGCGAAGGGGGGTGAGTGATGCTGGGCCGTAAGGACTGTCATGTAGTGCTGCCTCAAGGCTGCCTGGATCCCTTGGGTTTAAACCTTTGGCACCTTCACCCACGTGGCTGGGGTGGGGGTGGGGGGTGCAGAGGGACTGCCCTTTCTGACTGATTTCCTGGCAGAGCTTCATCCAAATATTTGAATTGGTGCTTAAATCCTCTCTGAGGTGGTGTTTTCGTCTGTAAAAGTGGGTTATGACCTACTTCACGTGGTTTGCGCGGAGACTGTTAGGAATGTCTACAGTTGGTGAAGTGCTTTAATTCCCACCAAACCCGGTGAGGTGTCAGTCCTATTACTGTCATCCCTGTGTTGTTAACAGATGAAGGGACCGAGGAGCAGAAAGATGAGATATGCTCACACAATGAGTCAGTGGCCCGAGTAACTGATGCAAAGCCCAGGGTTATGCTCTCTGTCTCGGTCAAGTGCCTACTGCCGTACAAGGTTCAAAGCCGAGGTTCAGTACCGTGCATTGCCCTTCCATCCGTTCGTGGGTTTTGATGACTCTTCCGGAGTTGTGAGAGGTCTTGAGGGTCTGTTTGAGTGGCATGTTCAGTGCCTGGGGACAGAAGTTGACGAGAACGTCTCATCCGGGCTTCTTGTGGGTGAGTCAAGCCAGAGAGCTCTTGCAGGGTTTGCTTCCCCTTCTTTCTCACCCGCACCCCCTCTTGCCACGCAGGGTGATGTGAGCAGAGCCCAGGAATGCCTTATGTGGATCGGCAGAACCGAATCTGTGGGTTTCTGGACATCGAGGAGCATGAGAGCAACGGCAAGTTTCTGCGAAGGTACTTCATTCTGGATACCCAGGCCAACTGCCTTCTCTGGTACATGGACAACCCTCAGGTGAGCGGCGCAGTGGGCCGGGGCTGGGCGCCGGCTGCCCATCACTGCCTGGCAGGAATGCGCACAAGATTAACCTCAAGGGCTGGCTTCATCTCTCCTGAGGGGCATGTACCTGCTGGTCAGGAAGGAGGGAAAAACCCTACAACACACCAATACCCATGCACACGCATAAAGTCACCCAATAGCTTAACTGCAGAGCAATAAGCTCATCTCTCCTGACCTGGGGACCCAGTGTCTTTTCTCACACTCAGGAATTCCTCACTTGCAAAAGCCAGGCAGAGGCCAGACAGGCTGGGTCCAGGCTCCAACGCATGGCTGCTTCCTGTCACCTCTCTTGCTAGGGCTGTGGCCGGTAGCCACTCCTGCTCTTCCAGTCTGGGGCACCTCCCCAGCAGAGAATGTGACCTGGTTCCCGCAGCTGGACAACTGTTGGACTTCTTTGGTCTTCAGAATCAGCCAGTCAGTGGAGGTGACCTTAGAGGTTACCCAGTTTTGCTTTCTCCGAAAACTGAGCCACAGATATTGGAATGGACTCAGATGCCTTCTTAGTATTGCTTTGCCCGGGATCCATGGCGTCATCCCTAGAATGGGAAAGTGTTGTGCTGCCCATAACTCAGTGTCCCTAGTTGGTGCAAACTGTTCGCGTGAGGCTGCTAGCCTAAAGGTTGTAGGGGTTGAAGGTTGTGGTCCCATGGAAGAAAGACCTGGTGATCGTCTCCTGTTAAGATTATAGTCAAGAAAACACTGTAGAGTAGGCCTACTCTGCACACACGGGGTCGCTGTGAGCCGGAGTAAACTCAACAGCAGCTAATAACAACAATAAATGCCCTTGATAAGGAATTTCAGATCTTTCTCCCTCCCTCCCTCCCTTCCTTCCTTTCTTTCTGGCATTGTGGATGTTGGTTGCTGTTTCTTTCCCATTTTTCCTGGGGGAGCTCAATGTGATGAGTCCCCCAAAGACCAGTGTAGCCCCTGAACAGTAAGATCATGGGCCGCAGCCTTGTTGGGAGGCAGGTAGGAACTGGGATCTGGCTCTGGCTCAGAGATTTGGAAGAGAAAGTCTTGAGTGGTGGGGGATGGCTTTTTACTTTAAGATATACATTTTAAAAAGAGTTGTATGAGTCTCAAGGTTTTAATTTGGAGACTAATCTAGAGGCATTTGATATTTGTCCTGTAGATTTGATGGTTGAGATAAAAGGTCACAGATACAGAAAGCATACTCAAAAAGTCAGTTGCTGATAAAACTCTCAGGAATAATAGTGGGAATAGTGATATCATGAGGTAGGGGAGGCAGGGGGAGAAAGGGGGAGCCCATCACAGGTTGGCTATATAGCCCACCACCAGGGGACCAATAACAGAAATGTGGATGAAGGGAGACAGCAGACAGTGTAAGATAAAATACAATAATGATATATAAGTAATCAAGGATTCACGAATGTGGGAGGGAGGGGAAAAAAGAGGAGCTGATACCAATGGCTCAAGTAGAAAGAAAACATTTTGGAAATGTTGATGGCAATACGTATACAAGTGTCCTTAATACAATTGAATGATGGATTGTCATAAAATTTGTAAGAGCCCCCCAATAAAATGATTTTTTTAAAAGTCAGTTGCCACTAATCACCTTTTCCAGGAAAGACTTATCCTACATAGCACTGTGCACCAGGTTCCACCCCCCGCTACATTTTACCTCCCACCACTGACAAACCTTCTGCTGGTTACTTTCATTGAATTGCTGAATTTGCGGAATGAAGCTTTCCTATGGACACTGTTTCGCTCTTGACCTAGCCTACTGCTCTTGCTAGTTGTACTGGTAATCCCGAATTTGGGATGCATCTAACGTACCAGGAACCACGCTTAGGACGGTCTGTTCAATTTTGGGATTAACTGTTCAGAACAGTGCTGTACTGCAGGCTACATCAACTAAACATTAGGGAGTGCTGGGTGTCCTCAGAACTGACCGAGATGGCCTGTAATGACTTGGCCTTGGGCTGACCTTTAGGCTGTACTGTATTGCTTTCCCAGCCTATGTTGTCGTTAGCTGCCCATAATTGGGTCAGCTAAGTTTCACTGAAGTTCACGGGGTATTTTCACTGTGAAAGGAAGTAATTATTTGCAGCCTTGGACACCCACAGACAGGTCTGCGTCGTCCTACAGGGTTGTTTGGCATTGGAACTGACTCAGTGGCAGTGAGTTGAGTCTTCTCCATTGCTGGAGGAACTTGAAGTTCAGTCCTTATTGCCAGCGACTTAGCTTCTGGTATTTTTGGGGTCAGCCCAGAGTGCACTGTGGTATTTGAGTCTCCCCATTCATTTTCCCATTCATTCTCCCTCTTTGGGTGTCTTTTCCTAGCGACCTGCGGGGTTTGTCATTATTCAGTGCTCTTGAGTCACTTCCAACTCCTAGCGACCCAATGTTCAACAGAACGGAACACCGCCTGGCCCTGCGCCATCCTCATGATTGTTATGGCCGAACTCATTGTCGCAGCCACGGTGGGTGCCCATGTTGTCCAGGGTCTTCCACTTGGCTGCAGCCCCTCTGCTTTACCAAGCATGATGGCTTTTCCAGGGACTGGTCCCTCTTGATAATATATCCAAAGTATTTAAGACAAAGTCTCCCATCATCCTTGCTTTTGAAG